TCTTATGTCCCTCACTTAGCCTAGTCCCTTGCAGATAATAATGTTCGACATATACTTGCCAAAATGTAAATAATGGCTAATTCTTCTCAAGGTAATTGTGGATGATAATTCATTTAAGTTTTATATTTTTGTGCCTAAACATGAAATGAGCATATATTATTATCAGGAGAGGAAAAAATAGTACCATCTAGAATTGGAAAACTTGGTAGGTGAAATTCAGCTAATCAGGAGGAACTGAGATGTTAGTTTATCACAAGCAAGTCAAGGTTTTCAATAATAAAAATCAATTAACTGCAGAATTGTGTTCAGCTGCTATGGGTATTGGGTTAAGAAAAATCAGACCCAGAATTTTCCTATATAGTAGCCATTTCTGTATCCCTATTTAATTTAAACTTAAGTTAATAAAATTAAATTCAAAATGTAGTTTCTAGGCTGTACTGACTACATTTCAAGTGTTTGCTAATCATATGTAGCTAGCCTTTGCTACAGTGAACAGTACAGTATGTAGAACATTTCCATCAGTACAGAAATACTTTATCACAGAAAGCACAGGATCTTGAATCTTGAAGAGTAGATAGCAATGAACAGGAACTCAAGACAGGCAACAAAGAACAAAGATTTTGATAACAGGCCTGGGCAATATGAATCTAGACAAATTTAAGTTTTCAGCAAAGTGACATAACTGGAGGAATGAAATTTACTCTTTTGTCAAAGGGCTCCTGAGGCCCTGGAAGGAATTATTTTAAGCAGGAGTAACACAACTCAGAGTGTTGTGTGTGTTAAATTGTGTACTGTTTTCCCCATTATGAGATAAATGGTTTCAAGGGATGGGGGGGTGGTTACTGAAAAGATTTCATGGGGCCAGAAGGAAATAACCTAGTCTCTGCAAGATTATTACTAGCTTGTATGTGGCAGATTGGGATATTGAATGCTTGTCCTCGGTTTTTCATGTCACAGCCCTCTATACCACTTAAGATAAATGTATGCCTCTGGATATTATTCATCAGCTTCCTATAGTGCTTAGGTATATTGCAGTGTCTCTTTTTTGTTTATTAATAAAATGGGGTGAAGATAACTGGTTTATTTAAAATGGGCCAGAAAATAATAAAATCTCTAATCTTGAACTTTGTTATGTTGAATTATTTTGGACTCCTTAAGCTAACATAACTATATTGTAGCTATAAGGTGCATTGAAAACAATTGAAACATGTTTATGGATCCAATCCCAAATCTACAGGATGGTGTTAATGTGCTTGCAAGCACAGAGCAGTTTTGGTTAGACGATTATAATAGCAGCTTACTTATGCTTTTGGTGAGATGGTAAGCTAATGATGTAGCCGTTAATTTGAATTTAGCAGACATTTTAAATATAGGTTTCTCTTACAGAGACAAAAGTTGCAATTTAAAGCTCTTTGGTGGTCTAAAAACAGCTTAATTCTGTAGTAGCATGGTAATAAGTACTAATCCAGCTTATACAGTGATTGTAGTATGTCATGTTTGTGAAAGATTGCCCAACTGCTTTCTCTGGGTTTTATGTTAATTTTAAAATATTAAACATAAAACCTTATAACATCTTCATGCTGAGATAAACTGTTCAATTTAACTTGTGCTCAAGCAGCAGCTGTCAGGAATAATCTTGTTCCTAGTGGTTTTTGCTATCACCTTTTGCTCTTTCCTGCCAGAGACACAGTGTGGAATGATAAAGCTCACCTTGTTAGGATTTATTTCTTAAATAATACCTGAGGCAAGGTGAACATTGGGAGCGTTTGGATAAGCTTCTGCTTGAGTGATGTCATTCATTATATTATTATAAACTTTTCTTTTTAGTTGATGGAAGAAGCCAGAGTAAAAATTGCCTTTGAATCAAGCCTGCATTCCTTTTGTGGGTTTATTTGTCACTTCTTTTTGGGTGTCAGTGAGCTAAATATTTGAAGAATTGCATTTTGTCCAATTTAACTGCTATTTTATAAGTGAAAAAGCAAAGAAAAATGTCTTGCTGATGATGGAGATATTTTCCACAATTTAGAAATAATGAAGGATATTTCATGATGAGTTTTAAAAATGAAATAAATTTCCTGGTAATTATGGAAAAAACAGAAGGAAGTGTTGGTATAGGAAGTCCCAAATGGTCACTATTGCCATTTCACCTTTGAATATATTGTGTTGGTTCATTTGGGAGGTTTTATTTGGAAGACTCAACTTGAAATTGGATTCCTTGATTATGGGTCAGCTGATAGGGTAAAGAGAGAGGAGGTGTATAGTAGGAGTAGGATGAAGGGCTCCCCTGGTTAAACATTCGCTACAGATGGTCCACCCGGAAGATAATTCTCATGGAGGAAATTAACAATTTGATTATAACTAGAAATATGTATATGATGGGCTTATGGTGTGGAATGCAGCATACTTTTCGCTTTTACTGACTGCCATTTAACATAAGCTCCCAAATTTGTAGTTTTTTAAGTATGTAATTAATGAAAATTTGCAAGATGTGATCATTAAACTGTAGTTCATTTAATCAATGGTTAACACTTTACACATTTTGGAATTTCAATCTGTGTGAAAATATGAATATTTTGAATTAGTAGCCTTTTGACTAAACTGTTCAAGAATTAGTTACTGCCATCATGACACTTCACAAGTAATTAATTCAACATGTATCTCCTAAGAATATTGTCCTACATAACTGCAATAAAATGGCTGTACCTAAGACATTTAAGATTGATAAAAATTTACAATCATATGTTCAGACTTTTTCTATTGTCCTTTATAAATCTTTTTTCTTTTTCCATCCAGTGTCAAGGTTCACACATTGTGTTTTGTTTTGGGGCTTATTTATTTTCTTTTTATCTAGATCCCCCACCCCTGCCCTTTATGGCATTGACATTGTTTGAAAGTTTAGCCCAATTATTTTGCAAAATATATGTCTGACTGTTTCCTCATGACCAAATTCAAAGAAGACATTTTAGGTAGGAATGCTGCACTGGTGATTTCTGTCTTTCTCAGTGTGTCATATTGGGAAGATACATGAATTCTCTTTGCTCCATTTTGGTCTTAAGTTTGATCACTTGGGTAAGTTGACGCCTACCAAATTTCTCCATTATAAAAGTACCATTTTTACTCTAATAAATTTTATGGGGGTTTATTTAATGAGGTTTTCTGCTTTGTGTGTGAAAAACATTGTATTAGCTGACATCTTAATGATTAGGAATGAGTCATTGCTTGCAAGGCATGTGGGGAGGAGGGATAAAGGGGAAGAAGTGAGTGTGACCCCATAACTACACTGACAGTCATCTATTTTCTGTTAAGGAAAAGATTGATTGATTGAGATTAATATTTTATTGTCCTGCTTAGGAAGGATCAGATTTGTAGATTAGCAAATATCTTTGTATTTCAGGTTTTTTGAAGTTTTTGCAAGGCTTTTACTTGGTAGTGGGAATAATTTTAAACAAAGTGGGGCATTTTCTGACCGTAATTTTTCTGTTTGTTACATGGATTATAAGATAATTTTTAGAATAAATGCTTGTCCGTGGTAAGATTTTTTTTTACTCTAAAATGATAACCCATGACAATACTGCAATGTGGATTTAAAGAGAGATCATTGTTTTTTGTCTTATGTGCCTTTTTTAACCCATGAAGGAGACACTTGAATTCCTGTTTATGATATATGCACTTACTATGTAATCATTCTTCTTATGTGAAAGGCTAGTGCAGCAGATCATATAAACACCTGAAGTTAGCCATTTGGCTTGTCAGCAAAGGAGAATTTATAGTCGTTGTAATCATGGTAATAACACAGATGATATTTTGTATTTATTAAGTACAGAAAAAAGGTCTACAACCAATTCATATCTGCAATGTAATGAGAAACACGTCGATCTTAGAAGACCAGGAGTTTCCCTGCTTTGCTACTTCCTACCAGTAGTGATTCTAGTAAAAACTCTTAACCTTCTTGAACCTCATTTTTTTAGAAAGGGATTTTAAATTGTAAGGTCAAATGATGCTACATTATGTTCTAAAGGTGGCACTTCATCAAAATTGTGCCATCTAATGTCCTCAGTTGTTCAGGGACTGTAATTTGTCCCATTTCTCATCCATGTGCAGTAGGTTTGTATTGTCCAGGTCAGCCCACTCAGTTCCTACTCCTTTCTGTTTATTCCTCTAAAACTTTGTATGTTCTAGCAACACTCACCCTGGAATGCTCCCTTGTTCATATTTTCTGTTCTTCCTGAGTAGGCTCTGCACTCATGTGAAATGAGTTAGTAAATAGATACTGTTTTCATTCTATCAACACAGGTGGGGCAGTTTTCAGTTTTTCTTTTTCCTGGGAAAATACAAGGAATCAGCCTTTCTTTGTTGTTGGTTTAATATTTGTTTTCTGTAAGGTGTTTTGCAGATTATACATCTGGTGCCATTGGCAGTCTAATAATGTAGCAGTCCATAAAAATAACAACAAATATTGCAGAATGGTTAAAAAGCAGGGAGAGAGGGGCAGGGAAAAAACATGCCAAGAGAAAAAGACCACACTAGATAAGTCTATCGCATAAATCAAAAGGGTTTATGTCATAACATGAACATGTGCCATTCCTGCTCGTATATTGAATTTCAGGAGTTGGTTGCATAAAGAAGTAAAGTGTAATGAAACTGGCAAACAAAGTATTCCCCAGTCAGCCTTATCTTTGTTCCATTTGTCCTTCAGATAGAGCTTTTCTTGCCTTTTTCAATAAAATCCATCCAGCTTTTATTTTTTTATTTTGCATCTCTCAGTAACTGAGCTGAGAAGACCAATGAGATTCTGGGCTTTTATAGTTCTTAGCAGCTGCTTTTTAAGAGATCAAAACTTAGAATGCAGCTACATGGTATTAAGGCTTAACTATTGATGTGTCCCTATAGGGGATTTTTTTTGGGGGGGGGTTAGGATGAGAGAAGAGAAGAGAAGGGCGAAAGATGATGACCCCTTCAAGCATACTCAGGACAATAAACCTAATTTTCTTGTTTCCTAGGATCCTCTTTGCAAGCTCAGTGCTTAACCTGACCGAACTGGCTGCCCTTCGGCCTGACCTTGGGAAACTGAAAAAGATTCTATACTTCCACGAGAATCAGTTGGTATATCCTGTCAAGAAATGTCAGGAGAGGGATTTCCAATATGGATACAACCAAATTCTCTCATGGTAGGTATAGATTGTATCATTGTTTTTAGTCCTTTGCCATCTTTTTCTTCATAGATGGTTAGCTTTTACATCTGGAGACCTACTGTAAACTTATTTTTAAAAGCACCTTAGAGTAGGTGCTAATGTTTAGACATGCGTTCCATGGTGATTACTACTGTTTCTGCAATATATGTATGATCACAACTAATCATTTTACAAAAAATACAGATATGAAACAATCTAATGAATTGCCTGACTGTTTCTTCCACCACATTCAAAATAGAATCAAAGAATTGACAAGACAGTCTTCACTCTTTGATTCCATTATCTATTATTTAAGGCAGACTTTTAGAAAAAGGGCATTTGCTCAACTCTTATTTACCAAACCACTTTCAATGTCTCCAGTTGTAATAAAAATAAAATTTACAGTGGAATAAACAAAAATTAAAGCATAATGGAGCAAAGGGGTTTTGTCCTTTTTTATTGTTTATACAAAAAAAAAAAAACAAACACTATGGAAAACGAGTCTTTAGGTGTTGTTTTTTTTTCCCCTCATTGAGTCTTCTGAAATTGCACAGCCTTAAAATACCATGACATTTCAAAGGTGATGGTCTTTTTCTTTTGTTACTTCAACAAAGTGTATCTCCTGAAGCTTAGTTAATGAAAGAAGTTAATAACAACTCTGAAATGGCTTTGCTGCTATGGAATCCTATTCACATAACTGCAGCAATCAAATTGAATCAGTTTGGCAAAGACTGGGTACATTTTACTCACCTTTTTAAAATAGTTATTAGCAACTGGGATTGATGGTGTGTTTAAATAGAGTCCAATTCTTGCAAGTATATTCCATAGTTTAGTTGACACAGAAAGGCACCTATATGTTAATACTTATGTGTTTTGAGCATTTTGTAAATGTTTTCCTGCAATCATTTTTACAAGCTGCTTCCATTGTGAAGTAGCAGTGCTATCAAAATAGAGTGGAACTGCTTCACGTCAAATGTCTCATAAAAAAGCAACCGTTTTAAAATTTCATAATAAAATTAAAATACTTTATATTGAAAGAGAGAAGGGAAATGTTTTAAAAACAAAAAAAATCATTTTATGACTTATCAATATGGAAAACATTTGTAATATTCTTTTGATTTCTTGAATTGTCATCATTCTTTTCCTCAGATAGTATGTGTTTATTACCCCTGAGAAATAACTGGGGGAAAAATTAAGTCTATTTTTCCCTTTATGGGTGGCTTTAAAGTTAATGGAAGTTACACCCACTCATATCAGAGAGGAAAAGCATGAAAAAGATTATTTTTCTAAACTATCTTGGATCTTTAATTTAGTATTGACAGGGTTTTTAAGAATAAGTAGTGGGGTTACATGCTGACAATGAAGGTAGGTCGCTAAATGAATTTTTAGCTCACTGTCCACATCAGATCTCTTTCATAAAAGGCATAAAAGGTTGTTTTGCTCATAAGGAATGAGACTAAAATTACGTACATGATTTTTCTGTATTGCTTTTCTTAAAAAGCAAAACTCATAGGCAGACTTTGAGAGAAAGAAGAGGACTTGATCGTCACTGCTTTCTTAATAATAATAAAAAAAAATGGTTCACGGTTGTCCAGAGGAAAAATAAGAGTGTCAAAAAGCACTCCTGTTCAGATTCTCTTTGAAAAGTATGACTCTTGCTTCCTCAAATGTTTCTTTAGTTTTCTTGCTGACTTTTGCTTTTGTTGACACTGTCAGATTTCTTTCTTGACTGTGTGGCAGTTAAGGGCTCTAGAGATGACTGACATAAGCACTCACCTTAAATAGAGGTTTCACTAACCCCCTGACTTATGAACACATGTCGTAACTATATATTATGACCTGCAGGTCGCTATTACAATATGTGACATATGGTGAAAACAGACTAGCTGTAAAACATCCTTCAACTTTTGGTATATTATTATATTGGCTTCCTTGTTGCTTGGTGTTGTGTCAGCACTTCTGTGACATTCTTTTGTATTATCCACGTCGTAATCACCCCTACCCCCAAATTTGCACTAGATTGCAACTAAAAAAAATACTTGTATGGAAAAGCAATTTTGCAGGGGAGGCGTAGGGGTGGCCAGTCAACATTCCTTTTACTGATTTTTCATTCCACTGTGTATACATAATAGGAACTTTGGCTGTCACAGTAAATACGGATTAAACAAAACTGAGAATTTTCTATGGTATTCCTATTCTATAAACTCTGCTCATTCATTTGCAGTCTTATGGACTTAACTATCTTCAGTTTTCTTGAGCTAAAATTTAGGGCAAAATAAAACTGTTATGTCTATTTGATCTTATATTCCTTCTTATGAAAGCATTGAATTCCAGTGACTCAGAGACACCGAATCATTGCTTAAAGCAAGGGGACCTATTTTTTAAAAAAAAAAAAAAAAAAAAAAAAGCTAACTGATTTCTTAAATCATTTTATTGAGTTGTGAAAGGAAAATACTACATATTCAGGCTGTAGATTCAAGTTTTATCCAGTGTCCTGTTATTATCCCTTGTGTTCATCGGTTTCAAAGAAAATATTACAGACAATTCTGAAAACTTCTGAAATATTTTTGACACATAAATTTTGTTTCCACGTGTCCTTATAACAATGTACTTTACATTATTTCTACTTAAAAATATTAAGGAGATGAACACAGTCTTTTCACTGAGAGCAATAGTCAATATTATATTTATTTTAAGTATGAGAGTCCATAGTGTTGTGATTCTTGATAACATACCCCTTTAATCAGTGGGATCTAACAGTAAGGACTTAAGGACTATTTCAAACAATGCTGATTACTTAAAATACAGTAGTGAAATAAATTATTTGTAGAGATGCCATATAATTATTTTTGTGTACTTCTAGAACTTAAAAAAAGCTAGCACAACTTCTTGAGGCAAGGCCAAACCAGGAAATAGATTTTAACCATTTTGAAGGAAAGATTGTGCTCAAGGGTGAAATAGTTTTATCTGAATTGTTTCTTTGAAGGTAGTGAAAAGTACAGCAAATGTTCAGTTCTCATCAGTCTGGTGAAAAAACAATGCACATCACTGACATACAAACCCTATATGGGTAGTTGGGTCACAAGGAAAAAAGTTCTGGTGTGCTGTTGATAATATAGAAAGTTCCTGGCATAGTGAAGACTATACTTTGGTTTGAAGCATCATGGCCCATTAAATTTCTTTCCTGCCTCTCCTCCCTGATGCCAACAGTCTACCTTCTCATGATATAATACTAATGAAACTAACTTATCTACTAGAGACATTTTGATAAATACTGATGAAAAGTGCAGAGTTCTTCGCAAACCCAAGATGTAGTATGAACTCTGGTTACTACAGAGGTCTCTCAGGTTTATAAAAAAATACCTGAACAGGTGCCGGCTCATCACTTGGATTCCTCTTTTCCCTTTACAGCTTGGTGGCTGATGTGGTAGCATTCAACTCGGTATTTAATATGGAATCATTTCTCACTTCTATTGGAAAATTTATGAAGCTGATTCCTGATCACAGACCCAAGGATCTGGAAAGCATCATCAGACCCAAATGCCAAGTTATTTACTTTCCCATCAGGTTTCCCGATATAAGCAGGTCAGTATGTTTGACTGTTTGCATTATTGTGTCATAAATTATGCCCCAAATGTATAGAATTGGTGTCCTTTTTGCCAATTTTAACTTTTCAGCATAAGATTGGTTAACTAGAGAATAGAGTTCTCTTTTAAATTGTGCTGTGATTTACAAAAGATTTTAAATAATCTTGTGTCCGGCATATCACTGAATGCTCAGTTCCCATATCGAGTTTTTCCTTTCTTTTCTATTATTTATTTATCTGCCAAAGAAGCTGCTTCGGCTTTCAACACTTATTGTTTTGTTTCTTTATTTGTTGCCTTGTTACAGAAGTCATTGTCAAGCATATTTCTCAACCTTTGCATTCAGTGTATGCCAATTGGTTTATATGTATAATAGTAATTATCCTAAGTAAATCAATATTAAATCCCCCTGCTTGGACTCCTTTCATTTCCCATGCTATTTTGTTCTCTTTTTTCCTTCTTCCATATTTTATTATTTATATTATCTTAGAGAGTTCGTCTACATTGGGCTGAAAATGTACTTAATTGCTATTTCTCTTTCTCAGTTACCAAGGACATTTTTTTATTATTCTTGTTGCTAGGCCCACCCTGAATTAACAGTGGATGATGTGGCTCAAAGGGAATTATAGAATTTCTTTTCACTTTTGATTAAACCTAGCAAAATTGTTTTTACTACTACCAGGAATATTTCTCCCTTGTGAATAGAAAGTTTACTTCAGTTGTTCTCACACTAGCCGGGGATGCTGCTGTTTTGTAACTGATTGAGTCCTTAAAAAGAGTTCAGGGACAGCTGTTTCTTTCCCAGCCTTGAAATGAAGACAGGATACAATATTCATACCTGCTATGCTCAAGATCAGCATTGGTCTCTATGTTCTGGACTGCCTGTAGCCACCCAGACTTTGCTATGGGGATAGTTGTCCTCACCCACACCCTAATACTGATTTATTTGAGTGTTTTACTAGTCAATATTTCTCTAAATAAAAATCTTCCTACTACCAAATCAAGTTTTAGTGAGCCATAAAATTTAATTTAGGCCACCTTGTCCAGTCCTTGCTTTATGAAGTTCAGAAAACAGAAGCCCAGAGAAACAAGATTGCCTTGCGCCCTCACTGCTGATTTATTGTCCCAGTTTGGACTCTACAATTTTTGATTCAGTTTTCTGCCTACTATTCAAGCTTTCTTCTTACTATTCTGCTATAAGTCATTTGTCAAAAATACTTAATGATTTATCTGCAATTTGGAAACTATAAAGCAAAGTAAAACTGAGATCACAATTGATTCTGTAGGTATGTATGTATATGTACACTAAAAGGTATTTATATAAAATCTCGTGTGAGAATTTCAACTTTTGAAAAATATGGTTTAGATTTATTATTAGCTAGAATAAACTTATATTTCAGATAATACTTTAAAATTATGAACCTTATCTTTTGACATATTTTTAAATATTTCATATGAATACATAGGCAAAATGTACACCCTTAAGTGAATAGGTGGTTATAGCACATCTTAATTATTGCTGCTATAGAATGCCAAATAAAAATATGTTTTATAGTTCATTTGCATCTGATATATTCCTCTAACATCATGTGTTTAATACACCTGTGGCAATTGAATAGTTTGTTAATTTGGACTATATTACCATAAATAAATCTAGCTAAATGGAAGAAGGTTAAGAATATTGTGGCCAAGATAACATTCATAAGCAGGGTCTTAGCCCAGAGTGTTATTTGAATTATTTTTCAAATGGTAATTTGCTTTATCCAACCCAAACTCATATAGTGTAAGTAAGTGATTATTTGCATGAATGACAATCATCCTAATGCCTGCAGTCTTAAAAGAGTATTATTTTGTTGAGATGTTGAAAGTGTTTAGTAATTCGAAAGGCAAAATAACCAATGTGATTAAAAAAAAAAAACCCAACAACTCTTGAATGCGTCTGTCTCCTCCACTTTAGAAATACTATTTGGATATAGATAAAAAATGTATTTAAGTAAAACAAAGTAGAAAATAACCCTACATCATTAAAGCAGTATGATATAGTAACATATACCAATTATTAGTTAGGGAAGAAGAAAAACCATGTTTCAGCAAAAAATTAGGTCGGAAAATTCATGATGTAATTTTTCAATATTTGAGGATTTATAAAGTTGATAATTCTTAAACCCTAGATATTAGACATGTGGTATCTACCTATTTTTTTTTTTTAATGCCTGTTAGGTCGTCTGCCCCTTCCCTGCTCATTCTTAGTAGCAGGTAATAATACTCATTTGAAAATTTCATTCTATGTGGTATACATCTGGGGATGGGAAAGCTGTGTCGCCTGTTGTTGCTTATATGTGCATTTCAGTCCTGAACACCAGCCACTTCCCACTGTTGTGGCTGCTGCAAAGTGAAATGGCCCTGAGCTTAGGATCTGTAATGGTCATAATTGCATTTGCCTTATCACCTCATAGGTATGATGTGGTGACTAAAGTAATGCCTGCCATATGCGTAACATAGTTCCTGGCACGTGACAGAGTCCACAATAAAGGTTAATCCATCTTTGGGCCTCCCCTGGTGGTGCAGCAGTTGAGTGCTGGGTTGTGAAGCTGCTCACAGCTTCTGCAGCGCTGGTTCGATCTCCAGCCGCCCGGTGAGGGTCCCACATGGCGCGCAGACCTCTCCTGCCGCCCGTTGCTCCCCTCAGCAGTGTGCTTCTGTCAGTCTGCCTGTTCTGTTCCCTGCTCTGGCTCTGGTGAATTCTCTCACCCCCCTGCGCTTCTGACTGTACCTAGTGCTTGTAGAAATAAATAAATAAATCTTAAAAAAAGGTTAATCCATCTTATTAACTCCCCCACATCATTTTACACCCTAGCACAATAATGCTACCCCTCTTAATAAGCACATGAACTTAGAGAAGTATTCTGCCAAAGAAGCAGTCTATTACAGGTTCATTCATTTCTTCTCTTCATCACCTGGTACAAACAGCCTTTTGGCCTCAGCAGAACCTACCATCCACGATGAGCCAACTCCTTCCTTTCAATCTTCTCTTCCTCTCATTTCTTTCTTCTCTCTGTTTCACTTCCCTACACGATCATTATATTTAATCTCCTGGATGTACTCTGAAATCTTTGGCACCTTTTCCTTCATATTTGATTAGGAGAAAAACATCCAGCCCTATTATTGTCCTGTAAGATTCTTGACACCTGTACTCAGATGGACCCTTTGAGCTACCTGGGAAGCAAAGCAATTTCCCCTTTTCTGTATAACTAAGAATGCGTTTTCTTTTCTTTGTAAACTTCTAATATCAGATATTTTCTTAAATCATAGAAAGAATTAGAAAGTAATTTCTCTGTACTGCCACCACCCTGTGCTACCCAGTTATATGCTTCTACTGCGTGTTTCCTATCTTTGATGTTCTGTGAATGAAATGATCTCATTTTCATCTTAAGCCATTGCCTCTACTTCTTTGTCAAATCTCATCCTTCTTGCATTCCTGAGGACTCGTCTAACAATTTTTCCTTCTCTGTTCTGCATCACCAGTTTTCCTTTCTTTTGGAGCATGTCTATTAGCATCTCTCAAAAATATCTTTTCAGTATTTGAATTCTTTTCTCTCTCTCTCACTGTCTCCTTTCCCCCCCCTCAATATCAGAATCTTTGAATGAGTTATTTATACTTACTGTTTCTAATTTTATTTCTACTGTTTTCTCATAAAACTACCACACTGAAACTTTTTGTCAAGGTCACTGATGACTTTCATGACTCTAAATCTTGTGGTCAATTCTCAGCCCTCATCTTACTTAACATGGCAGCAGCATTTGACATACTCTGACACATTCTTCAGTTAGTTTCTAGGACACAGGTTGCTGCCTTTCAGGCTCTTTGCTAGCTTCTCATCATCACCCTGACTTCAACTATGGAGTGGCCTTTGCCACATTTAACACTTGCAGAGTTGGTGGAGGAAGAAACCCGAGATTGAAAAGAGATGAAATACATCAGGAACAATTTTCCTGGGGAACAAATGGAAGAGTTTGAAAGAGAGATGATCATTGGTGAATTCAGAGGACCTAGGTTAAATAAACTAATAATTAAAATATACCCTTGGTTTTGACAAAGGATCAGTGGTACCCTACCTTGTTCCCTGTATTTCATCAAATTGCACAAGAGTTTCATGTGTTCTTTCTAGTAGCCAGAATAACTTAGGATTCAAGTCTGGATGAATCTACCTCACTTTCACCCTCCCTCCTCGCCTCACTTCTGGCTCTCTCCCTCCCTTCCTCCCTCCCTCCTCCTCCTTCTCCTTCTCTCTCTCTCTCTCTCTCTCTCTCACACACACACACACACACACATGCACACGCATACGCACATGCTCTAATTCTCATTTTACAGATGGCAGGAGCAAGGCTCAGAGAAGTTAAGTGTCTTTTGGCAATCACACAGCTAGATATAGACAGAGCAGGAACTGGAACTCATATCTCAAAATCTCCATCCGAAGCTCAACCCACCCCTTATTGTAAATGCAATTTCAGAGGTCTTGATTATCTGATTTTTAGCTGACAGCAGATTAGCAGCCTCAAATTGGGGGTGCGATAAAGGCAGGCTCACTGACAGCAGCGAGAAGTGACAGCTGACTGACAGCTTGACAACAAGGGAGGAGAGAGATAAACTATTGAAAAAATATATGAGAAGTGGAAAAGCGTAGCAGCCTGGAGCCAATCTATGGCAGGGCAGGCAACTCTGCACATTGAAGAACCCCTGCAGACATTTCTCCATGATTGTACAGCTTGTACATCAAAAGGATGATTGTGATTTATTAAGAGAGATTAAAATGGTAGCCGATAAATTCCATTTAAGAATGTAAGGAAATGCATAACTCTCAGAAATTATAAATGACAGCAAATGAAGGTAATTGTCATGTCTTACTCTAGATGTACAACAGCCATATTCACCTAATGGAAAATAATAATCTAAATTCTTTTTCATGTGGTGGAGACCAGCATACATTTCATTATGCTGAC